TCCCTCCCTCCACAGCCACAATTCAGCTCTGATCACTCGGGTCTCTGCTGCTTCAGGATGGTGTCCCAGCCAGGCTCTGACTCACACCACCTTCCCTGACCAAAACCAGCCTTCTTTGGAGGGAATAACGCTAATTAGACGTGGGCACACATTAAGTAGGCAATACGAGCCAAAGTTTAGCAGGGACTGATTGACATCAGATTGTTTTTTTTTTTGGTGACAAAACCAAATCACGGACCAAGTCAGAAGATGTAAGCGAAGGAAGAAGGCACCACTTCAACCCATCCCTGCTTTCGGTAGGATTCAGAGGACTCCTCCCTTGCTCTGCATGCCAAATCCTCATCCTCATCACAACCATCATGGAGAATTACTGGCTAACAGCTCTCTCCCTGTTGGCTAAGATAAAACGCAGCTGCCACCTTCCAACACTTTGCCAAACCAGACAAAGAGGTTGGGAGCAAACAGCCGTACAAAGGCCAGACCAGCTGGAGAAGTGCCTAAAGTGGGTACTCCCCCATGAAACCATGTCCTCGCCCCCCTCTCCCGGGCCACGGCATACTTACTGTGTACGGGGATGAGCCGTGGACGTGCTCCAAGGAGTACTGGCGACTGTATTTCGGCATGGAATGTGCTGAACTGCTGTCGTTCAACATCAGGGGGCTGCAAAAGAATCATAAAAGCATAGAATCATGGAATGGTTTGGGTTGGAAGGGACCTTAAAGATCATCTAGTCCCAACCCCCTGCTATGGGGGGCCAGAAGATTCCCAAAATTATTCCCAAACACCACAGGAGTTACCGTGCTTCCAGCACCGGGTCTCGGGCACTGCCTCTCCCACCACCCCGACGCCAGAACTGGGTGTTTGCACCCACCCGAGGGGCCAAGGCACAAAACTGTCCCCAGGTCTGGGTGCTCTGGGGGGACACGTGGCCTTGGGGGTGGTTGTGTCGGTACGGCAGAGCAGCCCCACGATGTGGAGGAACACAATGAGCCTCCGCAAAGAGCTCCCGAGCTCCATTTTGCAGATCTATTGGCAGAAATGTAAAACCTGGGGCCTCAGAGGACTTTTTTCCAGTCCCTGGTCACCTCCTGCATTGTCACTGCTCTGCTTGGCTTCACCTCTCCACGGCCAACTGCTCCCGAGATGGATGGCGGGTGGTCAGCTGGGACACGGCCACCGCTGGGGCCCTTTTCATGGACTCCAGTACCGGGGAGAAACTCTTTCTCCATACAAGATAAATCATTTTGGCATGTCTTGGACATTATTACCGTATAAACCACTATCTTCATTAATACTAATCACGCCTGCTGCGGTGTTGGCTGCCATATGGTGCTGCTGGGCACGGTTCAAACACAAAAGGACAGTCCTGCAACTCGACAGGCAGGACGGGACGAGGCAGGGGCAGGAGCAGACACGCGACAGAGGGTGTTCGGACACAAACAAGTGCAGAAAATCAGGGGGATGAGGAGCCTGTCTCAGGATGAGACTGGGAGAGCGGGGCCTGGACAGCCCAGTGGAGTGTCAGGGACAAGAGAATATCTGAGAAAGGTAGGGAGGGAAAAGTAACTGTGCTACAGCACAGCCTTGGGACGAACCCAAGGAACTATTAATTATCATAGAACCATAGAATCACAGAATGGTTTGCGTTGGAAAGGACCTTAAAGATCATTGAGTTCCAACCCCCTTGCCACGGGCAGGGACACAATTGGTCAAAGAAAATTTGGAAAGGTTCTTAACCACTTAGGGCACTGAACGGTCATCCAGCAGGACCAGAAAGGGGCAGAATAATCCCCAGCATGTGTGAGGACAGGCTTGATGGGTTTGTGATGGCATCAGAGCAGCCTGGGACAGTCTGGATGGTCCAATGTTTCCTTTTCAGTACAACAACACAAATATCACGGCAGTTCCAAGAGACTGTTTGAGCAGAGCAAGAGTCCAGCCCTCCCTGGAAGCAGGGGTTAGCTCTGGAGTAGGTTCTGCACTGGCCTGGATGGCAAACCCTCCTGGATACCAGTTGCGCATCAGTGTTAACTGGTTTTGGCTGGAGTAAGTGTTGAAGGCTCAGTGATGCCACTGAGCGCTGTCCGGTCCCACCCCACTGGCAGGGCTGCTACGGCAGACAGAGATCTAGGGGACACACATAGGAATCTTTATCTGGAGGTAGAAATGCAGACTTACATCTTCCTCTTTACCCCGAGAATACGGTTGGATTGCACCAAGGAGATCAAAAACTGGATAAGCTGTGAGGAGAAAAAAAAGGGAAAAAGCGTTACGGTGTGCACAGGACTGGGATAAGGACGGACAGAAATAACTCTGGGATGATTCCCCACCCCTGGAGGGGTTCAAGGCCAGGCTGGAGGAAGCTTAGTGCAACGTGGGCTAGTGGGAGGTGTCCCTGCCCATGGCAGGGGGTGGGACTAAATGGGTTTTAAGGTCCCTTCCCACCCAAACCATCCTGTGACTCTATGACTTGGTCCCTGAGCTCGGAGCAGAACCAGGGTTGGGCACAGGGGACACGGCAGAGCGCTGGCACCAGCTCGAGGCACAAAGGGTAAAACCGTTACGTGGCAGCCAACTGCATTCTGTGTCCGAATGCTGCCAGCCCACATTTAGCCTCTCCCCACTGGATTTCCAAAACCTCACGGTCACAGGAAGAAAACCCAGTGATCAAAATTCCTCTTAAATTGAATTAATGCCATTGCATCCCATTGATGCGGCAAGCGCCCAGCCTGGTCGCTACATCACCACGAATCCAAGAGCATCCCAATCCCTGCATCCGGCAGAGCAGGGTTTACCTTATTGACGACTTTCTGCTGCTGAGCGTGCTTCTGCCTCAAGCTGGCTACTTCCCTCCATAGCGCCTCATTCTCGCTGCAAGAGAAAGAAAAAAGCCATCTGAGAAATAACAAAAAAACCCCAAAACCCACAGCCTCTCAGGCAGAGCAAATAAAGCAGGGGGTGAGCTGCAAAACTGCAGCGGGGGGATTTGCCGACATCTCCAGATCCTGGCTCATTTACGACCTCCTGGGGCCCGCGGGTGAAATTGTTGTTCATTAACTTTGCTCTGCCGTCATTTGGGGTTTGCGCGGCTCCAGGAACAGCAGCGATTCGCACGTGGGCAGGAACACGGAGCCAAAAAAAACCCCCCACCCGCTCACAGCTGCTCCGAGCCATTACCGTGCCCTTGCGGAAACATCCCTGGGGACCCAGCTCCATCTCCTTGATCTGGCCCAGGTGCACGCGGGGCTGGCTATAAATCGCCTTCTCTGGGGACGGGGAGGGGGGGAAGGCGAGGAGGAGGAGGAGGAGGAGGAGGAGGAAGCCCCACACCTGGCAGAGCCCTGGGCTGCAGCAGGATGGAGCGTGGGCTGCACTGGGGGGCTGCTCCGCGCCTGCCCCTCGGATTTCCTCCTGCTGCAGTGATTCCCCAACTCGCCCTGCTTTTTACAACTCCATTTTCGGCTCTTCTATGCATAGAAATGAAAACAGCAACGAGAGGGTTTGTGTGTTCTGCAAACGTAAAAGACAACAGAGAAATTTGCAATAAACCTGCCACGTTTTCTCGTCCTCTTCAAGCTGGTAGAGCTCCAGGGAGCTCATGGTTTCAGTTTTATTTATGTGACTGCAGCATCGAGATGATCTCTGCAAGCAAATGAGCCGTTTCAGACGTGTTTTGGGGACACCCCTGGCTTTGTGGGGTCTTTAATGCCCAAGCTACAGATTTTAATTCAGCCTTTCCCCTCCGGAGGTTTTGAAGTAGCAGTCACACACCAGGAGAAGCTGGATGGCTTCTCTTGGATTTTGGAGAAGAGGAAGAGGAGGATGGCACCCGGCAGAACCCACCCAGAACGGGGCAGCCAGATCCCCCGGTTGTCCTCGATGATGATACAAGGGCAAGATGAGCCCTTGGTGGAGCAAAAGAACAGGGGACAAAATCTCAGAGAGGGAAAACCCACAGGAAATTACTCCAAATTTCTCAAAACCAGGCTATTGCTTGCAGATGCATCAAAAATAAATAAAGCATTTCCCCTTTGGAGGGCAAGGTCACCCCAAGCTGCTCGTCCAGGGAGAAATGATGAAATACTGGGCCTGAGCAGTGAGGCCCTGAACCAAAGTCGACCTCTAGATGAACCTCACAACCTAACAATATATTTGATATGTATGATATTGATCACACATGCAATGTATTCCCTTACGAATATACGCCAATTTATAAAAGCTTTGTTGTAATGCTTCTAGAGCATTCCTGGGACACTTGCTGTGCAAGGTTCGTCAGCAGAAAGATACTAATTGCATAACAGTAGCCACACTTAAAAACAGGTGTGCCTATTGCCACAGACAGTAAAAGAATGTGGCAAAGTCGTGCCAAGGTTTGTTGACAGACACAGAATAGAGATTACCAGATGCTTTTGCTCTTGTTATCTTCCCTCTCCTGCTCTGGCCAAGCGCGAGACAGAAGCTCACAAGGAGAAAACCACACCAGGTGTTTTTCGCAGTTTAAGATGTAAAGTTGTTTGTTCAATTGTATAAAAGCGGGGAACGTTTGCAGGGAAATTTGGAAGCCTCATCTATACGGTGGACGCACTGGATAGAGATTTCCCAATTGCTGGGAAGGGTTCTCCAAATCCTCGCTGCAACCAGGCTCCCCAGCAACTGCGGATCTGGATGATGGTAACAGATGATCAGGGCAACTAGTGATGTACCTTTCTTAATCGCTATCGCTAACTCTAGGTAGTAATGATGAGGCGCATGACCTGATTTTACGCTTGCTAGAGTAGTTCACTTATTATTTTGCTGCTTTACCTTTTCTTGCTTTAATTAATTTTCACTGTGTTATTTTCCTCATTATTTTACCCCTTTAAACATAAGTAAAAATAAGCTAACTTCTTTAATTTGGTGCCTGTGTCCTTTGTGCTAACCCCATCAACTGGCAAAACAGCCGACAACCAAGGGGCTGAGTTTGGGTTCTGGCGGGGAGCGGTCAGTGCTTTCGGCAGGCACATGAGAAGCCCCAGGGGTGGGAGCCGGGGCTGTCCCTATACCAAGGGGTGCAGCTGTGGTTATCTCAGCTGCACTGTCGCTCCCCACGCACCAGCTGCCAATTACGCGGACGGAGGATTGCTGCTCCGGGCCCCAGCGGGGACGCAGGGAGGGCTGTAAATTAGCCAAGCTCTCCTCGGCACAGACCATCTGAACACGGATCCTCCATTCGCCTCGGGACAGAAAAGCGCATGGAGAAATTGCCGGGCGCCGGTGTTCGAACGGGAAAAGCCGCAGCCTCACACCCGCTGCCCAAATCCCTGGGGTCGGGGGCAGAGATGAAACCGTCCTCGCAGCAGCGGCCACTGCCC